CAAAAGTTTTATAATATTTTTAAAAAACTTTTTTAACAAAGTTGTTAAAATAAATATTAAAAAATATATTTTACTTAAAAGTATATACTTAAAGTTAATATTTAAAGTTTTATTTAAAAATTATAATAATTAAAAATAAACGCAAGCAAATTTGTCTATATTACAATTTAAGAGATAGTCTGTAGTCTAATAAGTTATTAATATAGTATTGTTGTTTGAAAAGAATTTGTAGACGTATCCCCCATTACAAACATATCCTTATCTATACAATTAGTAAATGCGAAAGTCATTTCGTGGATGAGAAGGTTGATCCTGCTGTTTTAAAGTAATATAAGTTGACATAAATTGCTATTTTAAAAAAAATATTAACTAAAAAATTCTTAATTTACTAGTTACTTACATAAAACTAGAGTCCTTTTGATTTGATTGCCCGACGCTTCCTAATTAGTTTTTTTATGTGTATGTTTTTTTTGAATTTTTTTTTTTTTCTTGATTTTATGAATTTTTTTTTTATGTTTTTTTTATTTTTTATGTTTTTTTTATGATTTTTTTTTATTTATTAATTACTGACGTTTCCAACCTAGTCATACTAATCACACACTCTTAACCTTATTGCTTAATTACTGTTATACTCTACGTTTTAATGGTACTACGTTTTAAATGCTTTAAATGCTTGAAGGTATGTATTTTATTATTTATGCACTACTTTTATTCTTTTCTACGCTCTACCTTTCTAACATCAAATCTCTCCTTTATCACCGAACTTCTACCCCACACAAACGACGATATTTCTGAATGTTTGTCTTATTCAAGATAACGAAGCAGAAGTTCGATCTGTACGATCGAATTTCATATTTATTGATTTTTTTAATATGTATGTACAATTACATCATTTATGTATCATTTGACTTATTTAGACTCTAAATTACTTTTACTGGAGTCTGTAATTATTACGATCTGAAACATTTTTATTATTACGATTTGACACAAATTACGATCTGAAACATTTTCATTATTACCATTACGATTTGACACAAATTAATTGATCGTAGTATTTGTATAACCAATTATAGTACCCGTGTAGTACTCGTGCAACCGATCATATTACACTTGCATGATTACATCATAATTATCATTGTACTGCATATTGATCGACATAACCTGGCACAGAATGTAGGGGTGCTTAAATTAGACAATGACTAAAGTTGTATGTGTAGCTTGTTGTACACTCTTCATGTAATTACAAACTATAGGAGAACCCTATGTGGGACCTCATATATCAAACTAATAAAATTCGCTCGGCAATATAAGCCACCTTAATAACAAAAAAAAAAAAATAATATTTTCATTGAGCTTATTACTAGATACTAACTACAATATAGCCAATTTTTGATTTTATAGTAACCTATATTAAACTCAATATTTTTATTGATATTCATATATGATACTGAATTTGAAGTGCATTTGCAGTAATAAATATCAGATCTTGAAACTAATAAACAAAAAGTTAAATACTTTTTTTTTAATATTAGTAGACTAATTGATTGATTATATATATAATTAATTAGTTGATTAATAAATGAAATTGTAGTAATATTAATTATATATTTATCATGGATTGTATAACAAAACCTTTTATTAAAATTTTTGAAAACTTCTAAAACTAATAAAGTTTTAAATTATTTTTTGAAACATGTTTTAAATATCAGTTCAATAACTGGTATAATTGTAAATAAAATACATAATACAGTATGTCTTGATTTTATATATAAAGATCTCTTATCCACTTCACCTTCTAATATCTAACTTCTATATCTTTATACTATATTTTTTTTAAAATAAGTCAATAATCAGAATTTGTATTTATTAGATTGCCTAAACCAAAAACTCATAAAAAGGTTATTTGTATATGTAAAAAAATGTAAAGATCAAAAAAACCTCTGTGATTCTCGAACAAGAGATATATATATTAAAACATATAGTAGTTATAAATTTATAGCCGATATTCAACTACTTACAATAGATACAAGTATTGGTCCTCAAATAGAAAGTAGTAGTACTAAAATTTCTTCTCTTAGTTTAATTAATCTTAATCCTCAACAAAAAAGTGATGTACTATTTTTAGTAACTAAAAGCTAAAAAAAAAAGAAGGCTATAGTTAAAAAACAGCTGGATATTGATATTGTATTAGTTTTAGAGAATTTAAATATTTTTGATCAAAATGAAGAAGTAATTTCAGAAATAAATAAGCCAGAAAGTGATAATGAGAAGGAAGAATTTATTTTGAATTATTCTGCTCCTAATATTAATATTAGCAATAATAATAGATTTGAGAGTATTAAAAATCTTGACAGAAACTTTGGTTAGATATTAATTTGGATATTAAAATATCAACAAAGATATCAGCTAGCAGACACTACAACAGATTCTTTAATTAAATTCTTGCATTATATATTAACTCATTTTGATCAGAATCAATTTACAAACTTTCTAATATTGCTCTATTTGACATAAAAATTAATAGGACTTGATTTGCAAATAAATAATTATATAACATGTCTAGTATGTGATAAATTATATCTGGTTAGTAATATAATAACAAATATATCTAAACAAACTCTAATATATTTCTACTATACTTTTACAGAATATCCTAACTATCTAATATTCAAAATGAGACAATCTTGTAATCAATAATTGGCAAAAAAGATGCCTACAACTAATAGAATAATATATTGCTCTTCACTTATTTATTCAACAGTAAGTATTAAAAATCAACTCCAGTTATTATACTAGCAAAAAGGTTTTAAAGCATCATGTAGAAAGTAGATTAATAGAAATATCAGAAATAAATATCTTGCTGATATTTATGATAATAATATATAGAAGGAGTTTAAAGATCAAGATAATGAAAGTTTTTTCATACCTAAACATGTTAATATATATCTTGGCCTTATGATCAATCTTGACTGGTTCAATTCTTTCAAAAATTCTGTATATTTAACTAGTATAATATATGCAGTTATTTGTAATTTATCACATGAAACCTGATTCAAGTCTCAAAATATAATTATCTTGGCCTTATTACCAGGATCAAAGAAAGTTAAATTGCATCATATTAATTATCTTGCACCTTTAATTGATCAATTAATTGAATTATAGGATAGTGTAGAAATATTTACAGAAGAATTTCTAATAAGCAAAAAAATTAAATGTGCAATTATATATTATTCATATGATATTCCAGTAGCTAGAAAGTTGTGTGAATAAATATCAGCAAGGATTGCATGTTTCTAGTATGAAAAACATGCATAATTTAATAATAACAACCAACCTAACTTTAGTAAATTTGAAGATATAGATAATTAGTTTGTAGAGTATGATATTGAAGAAATTAAAAGTAATACATATGCATAGTTGTAGTGCAAAACTGAGGATCAAAAAAAGTAATACTTGTCTAAACATTTAATAAGATGGTCAAAACCTTATCACTTATCATACTTTAATTTAATAAGATATATTATTGTAGACCTAATACATTGTTTGTTTTTAGATATTGCAAAATAGATTGTTACATTACTTTGAATAGAAGGTGAACAATTAAGTCTTAATAATCTAAAACTTATAGATAAAAAAGCTAAAAAATTGTAACTTCCAGAAGATATCAGGAAAATATCTTATAAAATTGCTACAGAAAAAAGATTTTCTAGATATATTGCAGACCAGTAGTGAATATTTATAATAATATATGCAATCATAATAACTTAGAATTTATTGAAAGAACTAGACACCAGTATATTCTTGCAAACTTTGTCAGAGCTTGTAACTTGTTAGTTTATAGAATATTAGACAAAAAATCTTTTAGTAAAGCTCAACAAAGATTATTAAATATAGCAAAATTAATAGAACAACACTATAGTGCTAAAAAAATTACTTATAATATCTATTTAAACTTGTATTTATATAAGAATTGTATAGATTATAGACTATTATATTTATTTTAGTGTTTTTCCTTTGAATGCATGAATGGAATCCTAGGTAAATATCAGTATTATGTTGTAAAATTAAATATGATATGATATTTTTTTTTTTTTTTTTTTTTTTTTTTTTTTTACTTGATAAACATGTCATCGATAAGATTTTTATTAGTTTAGATAGTTTTGAGCAATGATTACAAATGTGAGAATATAACTAACTATATATACAACTTTAGATTGTCTAATTTAAGTAGTCTGCCTGAAGGTTCTATACTAGCTGCTATACCTAAAATTTATTTGAAAATTCCTTATTTAAACTCTCTAGCTATATACTATTCTTATCCTGCTATTATTTATTATTTAAATTCACCTAATCACATACTACTTCTATTCTCAGAAGATATTAACAGAGCTAATATAAATTCACAAACTTTATGATTTAAAGCCTAGGTCTATCTCAAGTACCCTTCATCAACTTTCTAATTGATGAGTGCTATAGTACTCAAATATGCTATGCTATATCTCAATCTAGCTTGCATATACCTTTGTTTGATATTCGTACAAATCTAGTTCCTACTATAGCTTTCTACTAAGTTAGTTATCTATGCCTCCAGATATTATATGAGATAGGCCCTCCCAAATCTGATTATCACCTAAATTGGTGTTGTTAAAAGTTGTCTGTACATCCAGATATCACATGAAACAGATCCTTCCAAATCTAGTTAGCTGCTAAGCCAAATTGGTATTGCTATATGACCTTATCTAATAGACTTATGCGTACTTATTTTACTAATCTTTTCATACACAGGTTTCCTAACAGACTTATTCATATCCTAGTCACTTATCTTTTTGTACGTAGATTTTCTTCTCCAGATCAAACGTTAACCAGTATGACCATAGAAATCTATACTACTTTATCTAACTTAGGATTTCTACTATGCAGATTCCCTGCTCATAGATCCTATCAAGATTTATTCATGTAATATTATGCTCTCCCAAACACTCTCATCACATTTCTAATACTCTAATTGGCATTAGTACAATGTGATTTACAAGGTTACAACTCCAGAAACGAGTAGAGTTTACTGTAAGTTGGATACAGATATTTAAGTAATTATTCAATTCTGTTAATAGTGAGATTTGAACCCTAGACCTCTTATATAGCAGTCTAACAATCTAACCACTATACTAAGATTACTAGACCTATGATATGATATTAATATCAGTATTATATATTATAAAATTAAATTATAACATTAATATCAGTATTATATATTATAAAATTAAATTATGATATTAATATCAGTATTATATGTTATAAAATTATGATATTAATATTTATTTAATATATTGTTAGGCTTATATAAAAGTAATCATAGGAATATAGAACTAGAACTTTTTTTTTTTTTTTTTTATCTTTTGTTGCTTAAGCAACTAGAGGCGCAGGTGGCGCTCTTTATTAAGGAACTATAAATAATCTATATACATTTTAAATATTTACAGAGTGATTTCGTAGTTTTAGATTTGTTATA